TTTAGGCTGACTGGGGAGATTTTTATTGCACAAAGGATTAAAAGGCTTTGCTGGAGTGCAGAGAGGCAGCAGCAGTCATTAGAGCCGCTCGCTAAATTATTTATTTGGCTAAAAAGTGAAATCTGATCTTGCTTGCCTGACCTGCCAGGAGGTAAAAGCATTGTTTTGGTTGGTTTTTTTTTAATACTCCGTGAATAAAAAAATAAAAGTTTAAGTGATATTCTTGAAGTTATTCATTTACACCGAGGAGGAATTTAAGTTACAGAAACTGGCAGAAGAGTTGTGATGCGTTGTGGTTCTAACAGGAGTTAAAAGAACCCTGAAAATCKAAATACATTTTGATATAATGCACTGATCTGGATCACAAATTCTGTGATAATTAAAGTTATTTCAGCACTTGGATAAAAAAATCAGGCAGCAGCATGGAAACGTTCATTTTCCTGCTTTGCACCGTGTCCTGTTGCTGTTTTCACGTCAGCAGCACTGAAATCCACAGTTGTTCTCTTTTCACTCCCGAGTGCTCCAAAGGCACATTACTCCTCGGAAATTGCAGCTTATGGCATTTTCTAATTGCTTTCAAAGCCACTGAGTTATGGCAGCACGTTAAACAACTGGCACTTCAAAGCTGGTGATCTCTTACATAAAAATATTAGCCCAAATATTTCCCCGTGCAGCCTTTKCAGCACATCCCCCTTTTTTTATTTATTTTTATTTTTTATGGCTGGTTTTAGACCCTGCGGTAAACAAACATTCTAACAGAGCTGTTGGAAACCCCTTAAAAAAAAAAAAAAAAAAAGAATCACAGCTCTGATGAAAAGCTGCAATAAACCCTGCATCCAAAATTTCCAAAAGGAAATTCAGGAGGGGACGCTGCCTTCAGCTCTGCTTTTGGTTGAGGTTTTGATCTCTTTCCGTCTCCCCTGTTTCTAGAAGGAGCAGTTGGGATTTTGCTCCTGGATGGGGCATTTGGGGTTTTCACCTCAGGCTCATTTAAGGAATTCCCTGYCAGGGACAAGATAGGCAGGACGTGCAGAAGGGCGGATCATTCCCAGCATGATCCCTGCCAGCTCCCTTTCCCTGTCCCTCCTGCCTCCTTCRGGACAAACTCCTGGTAAGGTGCACATTTCTCATCCCCTTTTCTTCCCCTTTCCCCCTCTCCTTTCCCTGCTTTCCTCTCTGGCTTTGTAGAGATACTCACAGCATCCAGTTCTCAGCAAGAAAAACTTCCTGGGCTCTGCAGAGTGCATGGGAAGGGTTGGTGGTGTGAAAAAATAACCCCAGGATGTGATTGTGAGCTCTGGAGAGAGAGTGGGGAGGCAGCAGCCACAGCTCAGGGTTCTTTTATTGGCACAATAATTTCCTGGGCATTGCAGATTGGATGGAAAGGAGTTCATGGTGTGAAAAAATAAACTCAGGATGTGATCTTGAGCTGTGGAAAGCTCTGTCTTGGCAGATTCCAGCCAGGAGAGCGAGTGGAGAGGCAGCAGCCACAGCTCAGGGTTCTTTTATTGGCACAATAATTTACTGAGTTTTGCAGATTGGATGGAAAGGGGGTGCTGGTGCAAAATAATAACCCCAGGATGTGATCCTGAGCTCTGGAGAGCGAGTGGGGAGGCAGCAGGCACAGCTCAAAGTTGTGTTGTTGGCACAATAATTTCCTGGGCATTGCAGATTGGATGGAAAGGGGTTGATGGTGTGAAAAAATAAACTCAGGATGTGATCTTGAACTCTGGAGAGCTCTGTCTCGGCAGATTGCAGCCAGGAGAGCGAGTGGAGAGGCAGCTCAGGATTCTTTTATTGGCACAATAATTTCCTGAGTTTTGYAGAGTGCATAGAAAGGGGTGCTGGTGCAAAATAATAACCCCAGGATGTGATCTTGAGTTCTGGAGAGCGCGTGGGGAGGCAGCAGCCACAGCTCAAAGTTGTATTGTTGGCACAATAATTTCCTGGGCATTGCAGATTGGATGGAAAGGGGTTGATGGTTTGAAAAAATAACCCCAGAATGTGATTGTGAACTCTGGAGAGCGAGTGGAGAGGCAGCAGCCACAGCTCAGGGCTCTTTTATTGGTACAATAATTTCCTGAGTTTTGCAGATTGGATGGAAAGGGGGTGATAATACAAAATAATTACCCCAGGATGTGATCTTGAACTCTGGAGAGCGAGTGGGGAGGCAGCAGCCACAGCTCAGGGTTCTTTTATTGGCACMRTAATTTCTTGGGTTTTGCAGAGTGCATGGAAAGGGGTTCATGGTGTGATAAAATAACCCCAGGATGKGATTGTGAGCTCTGGAGAGCRAGTGGGGAGGCACAGCTCAGGGTTGTGTTGTTGGCTCAGCACCTCTGTCCCTTCTCCCCGAGCTGCATTTCCCCCTCTCTGGGGCAGTTTTGCAGCTTCTGTCAATATTTTTTCTGTTAACAGGAACTAAAGTGTTTCTGCCAATAAAATCCTGAGTGTACACAAGGAAGTTGGGATTGTTGTACTCTGGGGCACCTGGAAAAGGTTTTTTTCTCAGTGTTTGTCCTTTACCCTTCCCTTGTTTTCTCTGGAATCAATGGATCAGATCAAAGATCTGCTTTGTCCTGTCCCTRTGTCACCCTCAGAGCTGCCCTTTCCAGCCCTGGATTGTAAATGGCAACGATGGGGAATCACCCAGACCTTCATTAAATGTCACCAGATTTTATGGACGCTCAATCTTTAACCCTTGCAGCACAGAATTCTTTAGGGACTAAACCTGAAATTTGCTTTTCCCTATGAATTTTGCAGTTAAACAGCACAGCTCCTGCCTTTGTGGTTCAGTGGAGGTTAATTAAAAGCCTTTCCAGGCAGGATTTTTGGTAAGACAAAGGTAAAGTTTGGCTTGGAGTTCCTCCTTGCAGAATTTCTGAAGGAGCACTGGGCTGTTTGCTTTTCCCTGGGATGCTGATACAGTAAAGTTAATTTTGATCTTCTTGCTCTGGAGATAAAAAATCAGGAGGGGAATCAGACAAAATACTATATTTTGGACAAAAAATTAACAACTCAGGATATTTCCTCAGCGTGGAAGGTCCTGGCTTTGTCACAGACTGTGACAGAAGTTCTAGACTCTGCAAGAATCACATAAAGGAATCTTCCACCCTCCACCCCAGTGCTGTTTCTGTGTGTTTCTGCCCACAGGATTCTTGATGCAAAAAYCTAAAATGATGCAGGATTGATTCTCAGATCCTGTTTGAAAATAGAGGCATTTGGGATGGGGTAGAGAGTGATCCTTAAGGTGCCAGCCTCAGTTTTCTGAGGATGATTTGTAATTTGGTGCATTCAGACAGCACTGGCGGTAAAATGTAACAGTGAAAGCTTGCTTAGGTGTGTGGGGAAAGGCAAAAACGGAATTTATTGTTAATCAGCTGTGCTGAAATCCCCATTSTTTAAAATCTGTCCCCAGCTGGCAGTGACGAGAGCCTGGCTTGGTTGCTGCTCCACACTCAATGAACAGAACGGCCATGTCATTAAATCTCATTTTCTTGTATGAACCCGTTCCTCACTGTCAAACTTTGATGTGACCCCAGCAATTCSTGCCCTGTGCACACCCCAGTGACTCTGGAACATTCCTGCCCCCCTCAGGTGAACGATCAGAATAATGTTCTACATAAACCTGTTGGAGAACCTGAAGGTTTATATCAGCAGCCGCCCGCCGCTCGTGGTCTTCATGATCAGCGTGAGTGCCATGGCCATCGCCTTCCTCACACTGGGCTACTTCTTCAAAATCAAGGAGATCAAATCACCAGAAATGACAGAGGTAGGTCCAAAAAATGGGAATATTCGTGTGGAAAACATGGCTGAAGTTCATTATGGAGGTTTTTTCTCTCAGGGTTGTGTGGGAGATTATCTTAGTTTAAACTCACCTCTAATTTCATAAGGGAAGAGGCTGGTGGGGTGAATGTTTGTTAATCRTGTTTTATATCAACAATGAGGTGAAATCATCCCTCATGGATCTTCCCTGCCGTGGCTGGGAACTTTTTTGTTTCTTATTTAGGGTCAGTGAGCTACTTTGGGAACTTTTTGCTGCAGGAAAGAACCTCACAGAAACCTCTCCCCACGGAGTGTGGGGAGAACAATTCAAGTTCTGTTTTCCGAGTTCCCTTCGTGGTTGAGGTTGAACCCGTGTGATTTCTACAAACACTGTTGGTGTTGTTGAGACAGCCCTGGCAGTGTTTGTGTTACTTTGCGAGCCCTGGCATTTTTGGGGTCACTCACTTGAAATCTCCCCCCTTTTTTTTTTGTTAATGTCTTTTAAGGACTGGAACACTTTCCTCCTGAGGTTTAAYGATTTGGATTTCTGTATATCTGAGAACGAAACCTTAAAACACCTCCTGAACGACACCACGACCCCCGAGAGCACGGTGAGCAGCGGCCAGGCCAGRTCCTCCACGCAGTCCCCGCAGACCCTCGAGGACTCCGGGCCCATCAACATCTCCGTCACTGTCACCCTCACCCTGGACCCCCTGCGACCTTTCGGGGGCTACTCCCGCAATGTCACCCACCTGAGCTCCACCATTTTCGGCCACCAGATTGGACTTTCAGGTAGGCAAGGCTGGGCTTTTAAAGATTTCCAAATTTCAGTTG